CACACGGTACGCCGAGACGAAAGCCCTTCCAGCAGGCACGGCTGTTGAAGTCGCCAAGTTTTTCATTGAGTCCATTGTCCTCCGGCACGGCGCCCCTGAAATCCTCATCACACACTCTTAGAAAAAAGGGTCAGTATAGTCCTCCCTAAAGGGAGGAACGCTCTTGAAACATATGTTCCTTCAGAAAGGGAGAAACTTTCGTCCCTTAAGCAGGGGAGGAAAAGTTCCTCCGTCGACTGCATCTCATTATGGCGGCCACGAATCGAGCAAATCGAGCTCGGTAAGGCTTAACGAGAACACTAAGTCTATTGCACGAAGCGAGAGGAGCAGGAAATAAAAACGTAACACGAGCTTTCCGCGAACTGTATTTATATCCGAAGTTTCCTTACCCCTGCAGGTAAAGAAACTTACGTTTCGAAAGCATGCAGTTACTCAGTCTTCTCATCGTCAGCACTGCGATGTTCAACGGAGACAACCGGCACTCAGTTCGCGCACTTTATGACCTACCTTTGCTAATCCTCGAGTCACCATTCCTTCGTCAACCGTTGCGTCAACCGCACATCACGGAGGAGTGAAAAGGTGAAAATCATTCGCCCGCAAAACCAAAAGCCGCTCTCAAAAAAAAGCAAATCCGAAGCAACCTCTTGGCTCATCTCAGCACGGTAACACGAAATTATGGCGTAGTGGCGTAGCCGCGTAGCGTAAAAGGATGTTAAATCGCTTGCCACCAGGTGGCAGGGTCAAGCAGAGTAATCGCACGTAGCTAGGCTAGGTGGCGCTAGGTACCGCCCAATTCATGTTTTACAAAAAAATATTTGTATTTCCTTACGCCACAATTGCGTTTCCTCTTCTTCGGAATCTCTAACACATGTAGACAGACACGTTGCGCACACTACAAACATCAGGTCAACATATATTGAACGCATACACAGGCATCGCACATACAAACATCAATACAACAGCACACTACCCCGATCACTACTACCGAGCCCTGCGTTTCCGCCTTTTATAGTGGTCGTTTTGAACGTACGGAATTTTTCGGTGACTCCCTAAGCAAAAACAAATATTCCGCACATGTTCATTTTTTTCCTGCAATGTCATACATCTGAGGCTATTTTTAATGGCTCAGGGGATGAATCTCTTATTAAAAAGAAGACGCTCGATCATGCCATAATTATTTGAAAGCCAATAAATCGAGCCGCTCCAATGTGGTTCCAAGCCATGAGTTTGTTTTCCCGCATGGCCCTTCGTAGCCAGTATTTATATTATAGTGTTCGTTTTCCTATTTGTGCTGGTCGCGCAAAGCTGCAATTGCCGTCTTGAATTAATCTCAGTGGAGCGGATATCCACTCAGCTGGAAGTGATGCTTCACGGGCACAGAAATCGCTTTTCGATCAACTTGAATGCAGTCAAAGCCGCGACTTGCGACAACTTTTAAGTGTACGGAGCTGCGCCGTTGCGAGCTCGAAAACTTCTAGCGCTCATCCCAGCGCGCCAATTAGAGGGCAGTTTCTACAGGAACCGTAATATATTTAAACAGTAAAATAAAGGATAGCGTTTTTGTTTTTTTTTTTCGATTTTGCCTGTCTTTTTTTTTTTTATGCTAAACTTCCATTATAAATATACGTACTTTCCGTCATACTTTCGTAGTGTTGTCTTTTCCCCAGAGCGCAATCGCTCTCGGGGACCGACAGTCACATTGGCCACTGCACGATAGGAGCTTACCGTTCAGACCAGCGTTCCAACATGACTATCCACACGTCGATCGACTGCACCTAATCCCTCAAGTGGTTTTAAACTCTTTAATGTAAAGCGGAATGTCATCCTGCGACACCCCGGCCCCTCCGATAACGGCCCGACCAGCGGCATCAATGCCCGACAGTTTACGTCATCTCATCTTGTTGTTACACCACTGATGCGCGAACACACGGTCACATCGGCGATAATTCCAGTCTTCTGTTCACAACCCACAACACTGCCATCACGATGTCGCTGACACGAAGAAATACAGAACCACGTTGCCGATGTTGCTGACACGCAGAAGAATCACGTTGAACGGCGGTTGGCACTCGGCACGGAAGGCACCCAGGCAGCCGGCAGGAAAACTTGCCTTCCTTGGACGCAGTTCCCGCGATTTCCATAACGTCGAAAACGTCGACACAGTTCCTCGTGGTTTCGCTGCTGTAGTTCCGCGTGTGTCCCGCAAATTGGAGACGGCCGAGAAGGCCGTCCGTCTTACCCAGTGTATGTAGCGCTGCTGGCACTGCTCCAGAACTTCGCTGTTTCTAGCGGCTTCGTTAGCTCGTTTGATAAAATTAGTGGTAAAAACGTCAATGCAACCGAAATGTTCTGCACGTTTGGACTAGAAGACGGGATTACAGGCGGCCTTCGCTGCCGCTGAAGCTCAATCAACTCAACATTAATTTATTAAACAAAGTGCGCGATGTGCTCGAAAAACGAAACCGAAAGAAGATGGGGGGGGGGGGGGGGGGGGGGGGGTGAAAGCTTTCTCCGGTCTGCCTGGAGAAGGAGGAAAACGTCTCGGAGAATAATAAGGACTTTAATTTTCCTTTCATCGGTCTGGGTTTGTTTATGTGTGTTTTGGTAAAAAAAAAAAAAAAAAAAACTTTACAAAAAAAAAAAAAAATTTTTTTTTCTGGGGATCGAACCGTTGACCATTTGCACTTGGTCAGTAGCGCGATGTTCTACCCCTGCGCCAACTGAACAAGGAGGAACTCGCCCTCCTCCTTTCATCTGAACTGCCGTTCCTCCCTTCTCTGGGCAACTTGTCCGCAACAAGGAGGAACAGTCGCTTTTGCTACCTTTCTCCTCCCTTTTTTCTTAGAGTGCAGACCGTGGATCTTCGTTCATGGCCCAGCTGACGCAAGAGATCCTTCGTCTCAGTGGCACCGGCCACCGTCGAACCACTGCATACCACCCGCAGACCAACGGGCTGACCGAGCGACTCATCAAGACACTCGCCGATATGATCTCTATGTACGTCGACGTAGAGCACAAGACGTGGGACGAGGTGTTGCCCTACGTCACGTTCGCCTACAGTACGGCGGTTCAGACACTACTGGATTCACCCCTTTCCAGCTGGTACATGGTCGGAAGGTAACGACCATGCTGGACGCAATGCTGCCCCATGAGCCATCTGACAATGAGAGCGACGACGTCCAGGCGGTTGCTCAACGCGCCGAAAAAGCCCGCCAGCTCGCCCGACTCATGAATCAAGACCAGCAACGTGTAGACGCGGGCCGCTACAACCTTCGTCGCAGGTACGTTCACTTCCAGCCCGGAGACAGGGTGTGGGTGTGGACGCCCATCCGTCGCCGCGGCCTCAGTGAGAAACTGCTGAAACGGTACTTTGGACCATACAAGGTACTTCGTCGCCTCGGCGAGCTGAACTACGAGGTGATGCCCGACGGAACAAGAACATCATCACGCCGCCCACCACGACCTGAAGTCGTCCACGTCGTGCGCCTGAAGCCGTACTACGCTCGATACGACTGTGGATCTTATGTGTTTCAAATGACTCTTTAGTTTGCCGTTCTTTTTATGTGCTTTGTTCTGTTCTGTGTTGCATCGGGGCGATGCACTTCTTAAGGGGGGAGTAATTCCGCGCGCAAAGTAGGCAGCGCGGCCGTAGCCTAACGGTTATCGCGCTTGCCTCCCACGCGAATGGCCAGGGTTCGATTCCTGGCCGCGGGTACGCATTTTTGTTTACACTGTAATGGGATGTTGTGGTGAATTCGAGAACCGTCTAGCTGATTCGAGGTTAGAATGTTCTACGCGTCGAACCTTCTACATCGAATGCTCCAGAAGCCAACGCGTGTACAAAAGCGGCTCCGCCCGGCAAGCAGAAGTCAGTTTCGTCCCAGCGTTCGACTCTCCTGCTACGCTGACATCGACGCCCGCGACGCTCTGTTATTATCTTTTGTACCCTTTTATTTTTGGCACAAGTTCGCCACATTAAACCTTTATTTATTCCTGTTTATTTTTTGTTTATTGGTCACCACCCGTGACAATATTACATGAGCTTCCTAACACCGAACCTAATGCCTGAGGGATTCTCACTTTTAAATCACAACGATCTGTAGTTCCGTCTCTTCTGCACAAGCACAAAAATGGCGGCGCCCACAACAACGTCGCGGAAGGAAGTTCCGAGACTCTAAGCGCAGCTCATTTAGTAGCTCTAGATCTTCCTAAGGACTGCGCGTAGCACGTGCGTTGTGCATCGACGCAACTTACTCTACTTTTCAAACATGAAGGGGCTTCCGATTTACTAAAATAATGAATAAAGCCCTCTCTTAACACCGCTGATTAAAACGTCAATGAAACATTTAAGCACCAATTCTCCAGCTGAACGTCAAAAGAACCAAGAAGCGCGAGATCTGTTCAAAATTTCCGAATATTCTTCTAAACCAACTTGTCTCCTCCAAGACGTTAAAACGTACAGCCGAAGGCTCTAACTAAATCTCCAACTTCGTTTTCCGTGTAGCATTTATGCTTTCCACCACCGGTGACGTACACAACCTTCACTGGCTTGCAAAGACAAAGCGTCTGGAAGTCGCTTAGTACGTAGACAGTGGTTCTTGTTTGTAAACTGCAAAAAGGTTCCTAAACCCTTTCTTTTTTTTTGTAAACACCACAAGACTATGTTCCAATCTTTGACATTCCGTTGAACTTCCGGTTCATAAAGAGGATAAACAAAGCCCACTGCTTGGAACGCAAAAAACAAAAAAAAAACAACAAAAAAACAACAACAAAACAACAACAATAAAACAGGAAGCGCGAGGTCCGTTCAAATTTCTCTAATATTCTTGTAAAACAACTTGTCTTCTAGACACTAAATCGTACCACCAAATGCCCTCGTCTCGCTAAATCTCAAACTTTGTTGTTCCTGTAACTTTTATGCTTTCTAGCGTTACATGAGCAAACTTGACGGGCTTGCAAAGACGGAGTGACCGGAAGTCACTTCAGACTTTGGTGGGCACGGTGGCATCGCCAAGATGACAGTCGTTAACACCTTCGTGTTCATTGCACAGGTACTGCTGCTTCTGCCGCCGCACTGGGCCGGTGACGCCGTCAAAAGCTGTCCGGCGGCGATTCATCGAGCTGAGCGCATCATCACGGCTGATAACAAGGAAACAGCGACTCATACAGACCGAAATTTTCTTCGGTGGACCTTCAACGAAAACCTGGAATTCTCAAGATTCACATCGCCATCGACATCGGCTACCTCAGCGCCAGCGCTGCCAAGTAAAAAAGACCACCCCCGATCTTCACTCCACTGTGGGCACGGTGGCATCGCCAAGATGACAGTCGTTAACACCTTCGTGTTCATTGCACAGGTAGGAAGACGCTATCCTTTCTGTTACCGTAGCAACAACCTTTGTCTTTTTTTGCTGCCGTGCCCACGGACCTGTTTTGCCTTGTTGTGTGAAATGCGTGCACGATTTGCTGATTTGCTCATGCTGTGCGGAGATATAGAGACCAATCCCGGTCCTGACAGGGCAGCGATGATGGAAATGTTAACTAATATCTCGGTCGACATTAAGGAAATTAAGCTGAGCCAGGCAGCGACAACATCGAGACTAGAGAAAATAGAATCGCGCCTCGAAGGCCTTGAAGAACTCAGGTCCGTTGTGAACAAAAACTGCGACAAGACCAACCGCCTCGAAGCCACCATCACATCACTCTCGAACAAAATTGATGATTTAGAGAACCGTAGCAGAAGAAACAATCTAATTATTTTTGGTCTTTCTGAACTACCTAACGAAGAGAGTAGCACCCTTGAGGATAGAGTAACTAAAGAGATTCTTGGTGGAAAACTAAATGTAAAGATTAATGGAATCGATCGTATACATCGCCTTGGGAGGCCAGCTCATGGCAAAACCCGTCCAGTAATATTTCGACTCGTAAACTTTAAAGATAAATTGAATATTTTACGCAACTGCAATAAATTGAAAAATGAACGACTCTCGATTAGTGAAGACTACTCAAAGCGAATTCAGGGCATTAGAAAAAAATTACTTGATAGCTTGAAATCAAATAAACTTGCTGGTGATAAGGTCACGCTTACCTATGACAAAATTAAGATAAATGGCACAATATACATTTGGAATGAGGCCATAAACGATAAGGTTCCCATATCTGAGGAAACCCGGAATCCCAGTACGTGACCAAGCCCTACTCAAGTCAACCGTGCATATGAATTTCGATTACTAAACCTAAACGCGCGAAGCATCGTAAATAAAACTGATAAACTTGAAGCTGCTGTTTTGAATACCCAACCTGATATTATAGCAATGACAGAAACTTGGCTATCAGACAGCATTCTTGACTGTGAAATCACGCCCCCAAACTATACGATTTTGCGCAAGGATAGAGGTTCTCGCGGTGGTGGAGTAGCGATTCTTGTAAAAAAATGGCATTGTATGTACCCCCTTACCCGATAGCCCAGAAATTGAGTGCCTGTGTTGTAAAATTGCTTATAAAAATACGTGCTGCTATATACTTGTTCTCTATAGACCTTCCACTTCCACTTCAGGGTTTTTCAAAAGTATGTGTAGTTATATCAATGATAATATTAATGTCAACAGTAAGATTATAATTGCAGGTGACTTCAATCTACCTTCCTTAGAATGGTCCTCTCTATCGAAATGTACAAAATCATCTCTCGGCGCAGATATCCTTACAGATCTATGTTTTCATTATAACCTCACCCAAATAGTTACTGTAAATACCCGTATTCAGGGAACGTCGCAATCAATGCTCGATCTCGTCTTTGTCACCGATCATTTCCTGAAAGATGAACACAGCGTAGAAGTTTTAAATGGTATATCTGATCATGAGATGGTTTTGTGCTGCTTCAAAACGAACATCCCAACTTCTGGCAATCCCCAGACTTGTAAGGTTCTGAACTTTGACAGAGCAGATGACGTTGGCGTGCTCGACTTCTTTGATACACACTTCGATAACTTTCTTCTACTGTCCAAGAGCGACCGTAACACTGTAGATATGCTTTGGAACGAATTCAAAACGGCAGTTAACACGTGTGTCTCATGTTTTATTCCACAACGAACTAAACGAATTAAGAAAAACCCTTGGATAACGCGAGAAATAATCCTTGTAAAGCGCAAAATAAATAGGCTTCGTAAGAAGGCAAAGAAAACCAGAACTCTTCTAAATAAGAACAAAATGGCATTACTCAACAGCGATCTTGGACAAAAAATCAAGTCGGCTAAATACAATTTTTTCAATATCACTCTCCAATCGTTTATTCAATCTTCACCCGTCAAATTCTGGAACTATGTCAACCCAAAAAACAAATCGAGTCTAGAAACGCTCTTCGGTGACAAAGCAAATCTTGCAAAAGCCTTCAGTGATTATTTTCTTTCGGTCTTTACAACAAATAATGGTAATGCACCCTCATTCGCGTCCAATTCTCCAGTCTTGGCTGTAAATGATGTTGTAATTACCGAACAGGGTATCTTATCTCTTCTACTCAACCTGAACACAAAAAAAAGTGCTGGGCCGGACGATATACCAAATGAATTTCTAAAAAGATACGCCGAATGGGTAACAAAATATCTTGTTATAATATTTACACAATCACTTAACAAAGGGCAACTTCCTAAAGACTGGAAGTTAGCGAAAGGCCTCCCCATTCATAAGTCTGGAAACAAAAACGAATTTGCGAACTACAGGCCCATCTCCCTAACCTCAACTTGCTGTAAATTGCTCGAACACATTGTTCTGAACCATGTCTCCACCCACATCGAGAATAATCAAATACTTGCTCCATATCAGCACGGTTTCAGACGTCACCTTTCAACAGTGACGCAACTTGTTGAAAGCATTCACGATTTTTCCACTGTCATAAACAATGGAGGACAGGTTGACGCCATATTCATCGATCTGTCAAAAGCCTTCGACAAGGTATCTCACCCAAAGCTATTGTTTAAGCTAGAATCTATACTAGGAGCAGGAAAAATTTCAGGTGGATTGAAGACTACCTTTCAGATCGCTACCAGGACGTAGCACTTAATGCGCACTCATCATTCAAAGGCAAAGTTTCATCGGGAGTCCCACAGGGATCAGTACTGGCACCTTTTTTGTTCCTAATATACATAAATGACCTGGTCAAAGATGTGAACGTAAAAATTCGCCTCTTTGCTGATGATTGCATACTTTACTCACAAATAAATAACCCAAATGACCAGATTAACCTAAATAATGCGCTTCAACACATCATAAATTGGTGCCACGACTGGCAGATGGAAATAAATTCGAATAAAACTGTATTTATGACCATAACCAATAAAAGACAACACTACTCCTTTCCTTACCAGATAGGCAATAACCTCTTGGAACAAGTCGGTGAATACAAATACCTCGGCCTCAATATAAGTCAAAATTTACGTTGGGACTCACACATTCACTCCACAACTAATAAAGCTCTAAACAAACTGAGTTTCCTTAAACAAGTCTTAAAATTTGCATCTCCTGCCACTAAATTACTAGCCTACAAAACTTTAATACGTCCTATGCTCGAGTACGCCAACGTCGTCTGGTTTCCCCACACAGTCTCCGGCATCAATAAGATAGAAAGAGTTCAGAGAATGGCCGCGAGGTTTATTTGCAATAAGTATAGTAGGCACGTCTCTCCCTCTGAACTTTGCAGGCAACTGGGTCTCTCCTCTTTAGAAAAAAGAGCAAAAACAGCTAGACTTAAATTTCTATATGAATTAGCCAACGATAATTTCAACCTACCAAATGAAAATTATCTTATCCATACAAGCAAACGATTAACACGGTACAACCATGGCAAGCTTTACGAGGAAGAAGTCGCTCATAATAACTGCTTTAAATTCTCTTTTTTTCCCCGAACCATTAACGAATGGAACCACCTGCCTCAAAACGTTGTTCATTCCTCTTCTATTGAAATCTTCCTCGATTACGTAGATGCCCACTTTTCATCATAAACTAATATTTTATGCTGTTTTTAAAAGTGCAGTGTATCTATTGTATTGAAGTTTACTAATTTTTCATTCGCGACTTCTATATTTGCTTTGAATATTTACCTGCAAATTGTGTGTTGAATATTATTTTTCTGCTTGTAATATCTCAAACTGTACCACCCTACAACAACCCCGAATGGGGTTAGTAGTATTGGAAATAAATAAATAAATAAAAATAAAGACACAAGCCGCAGTTCATGTTTCTCAACAGTAGAAGTGTCTGTTCGGTATTTTTTATACTTAACAAGCATGTGCCAGATTATTGTTCCGGTAAGCTATAAACGACAGCGACCCTCGGCAAGCCAGAGTCACGCCCTTGTTTAGAGTGGTTTAATAAAAATGGGCAGAAAAGCAGGAACTGTCGAATTAACTGATTTATTTTCTTTCGAGAAATGCTGAGATTGGTTTATTCCCGAGTGAATTACACTCTAAGAAAAAAGGGAGGAGAAAGGTAGCAAAAGCGACTGTTCCTCCTTGTTGCGGACAAGTTGCCCAGAGAAGGGAGGAACGGCAGTTCAGATGACAGGAGGAGGGCGAGTTCCTCCTTGTTCGAATTCGGCTTCCGTGAGCGATAGCGAGCGGACGCACGATGGATCGCTCCTCTGCGATAGCGATAACGGCTGAGGCCAGCCGTGGTGACGCCGCACACGGCGAAGTGCCCAACGATTATACCGTGTTAATGCCGGTACTGCCAACAGGCGACGAAGCGAAGTGTAGCCTGGTGCTGCACGCGGACACCCGCGGTCGACCGTATCGAGTCGAGGACTTCGTCGGGCCCCTCAACCAGGTGGGCGTCAGGGAGGACATAACAGGACTCGGAGCCTACCAGATGGGCCACGTGTGGTTGGTGAAGTTGCGTACCGGTGAGGCCAAGGAAAAGCTGCTATCCGCAGGAAACTTAAAGGTTAAAAATCGGCTTTGCCTGATCGTCGACCCTGTCAGGCGGGAACTGAGAGTAAAGGTGCACTGGGTGGCTTTTGGAGTGTCCGTCGACGCCATCCGGAGAGCCTTTGAGCCATACGGCGAGGTCAAGGGTGTCGCTCGAGAAAAATGGAAGATAGAAGGCCTCGTGGACGTCGACTCAACGACCGTCACCGTGAGGATAGTGCTCCGCGATTCCTTGACACCCGAGTCTCTACCACACCAGTTCCGCATCAATGGCGGGAATGTGCTGGTAGTAGTTCCCGGACGAGCGCCGCTTTGTCTACGTTGCCGCCGCACAGGACACATTCGACGTGATTGTAAAGTACCAAGGTGTGAAGAGTGCCGAGCCTTCGGGCATGAGGCCAGAGACTGTGTGCGGTCCTACGCGCGAGCTGTCGCTGGCCAAAACCTTGAAGACTCGGGTGCGACCTACTTAATGGATGAGGTCGAAGCAGAGGCGGCGGCGACTCCTTCAACTCGGCATGCCGCACCTGAGGAATCCCCGCCTACCTCTGAGATCACCATGGTGCAGCGGGGTGCCCCACAAGACCAGACAACAAACCCTGCCCCTAAGCTGGAGGGGCAACGGGCAACACGCAGCTTTCTGAGAAGACACCGTCGCCAGCGTCACCAGCTATTGGGGGCGCGGCCGGTGCTTCGGCCGGTGAGGACGCAGTGGCCATGGACTCAGAAGGCGCGTCGGTCAAGCGTAGGCCCTGCGAAGTGGTTTCTGGAAACGTCGAGTCGCATCAGCAATCTCAGCAAGGGGAGAGTGGGTGGCAAACCAAGAAAGGACGAGGAGCCGGCCGCGGTCGCTCGTCCCACTCCCCCGGGACGACGCACGGTCGCAAGGAAAACCCGGTTGTGGTCCCATAGACCGTGTTAAAGTGGGTGAGTGCCTTGTGCTGTGGTGAGACCTTCCTTCTGCTATAGTCACTCTTGGACGTCCCCTGCGCATTGCCACGCTCAACGTTCGGGGACTGTCGGCTAGACGTCGGCAACGACAGCTCTACCGGCTGATGACTGAACAAGAACTGGACATCGTCGCCATCCAAGAGACGAAAGTAGAAAGTGAGGAGAGCACTAACTACATGGTGCAGCCCTTCTTGGCACGATACTTCGTCTGTGTAAGTCATGCGGTTGGTCTTTCTGCAGGTTGTTGCCTTTTTCTGAAAAATCTTTAGGCGTAGTTGTGCAAACAGTTATGACATGCCCATCTGGGCGTTTTGTTTTGT